TTTAGGCATATGTAGTAATATTAGCAGAAAGATTTAATTTGGGAAACTTTGATTCTTAAAAGAGAAAACAAAGCATGTGAATAAACATTGAAGTGTTCACCTCAGTTTGGGACCAAACTGCTTGGATCTTTGTAAAAACCGGTTTTGTACGTCAAGGAGGAGTTCAAGGCTTTTCTGACCACCTGTGTTCCCCTGTTCTGTGTAGCCGTGTGGCGCGTGGAGTCGCTCTGGCCCACACCCGCTCCGTGTTTCCTGAGTTCTGGGCTGGGCTTCCCACCCTCCACCAGCAGCCCCAGTAACCCAGCTTTCTGACCTGACCCTCAGCAACGGGGTCGAAACTGGAGGGCAGTTTCTGGTCTGTTTTCTAAGAAACTTATGAATTCTATTATCTTTACAAATATAAGATGAGAAAATTTTTTCAATATTTTTTATTAATCTTTTTATAAAATGAAAAGAAACTCCTATGATTGATTAAGGAAGGTGGTTATGGCTGGGTGGCTCATGGGGTTTATTTGGGTTTTGTTTTTTTGTGGGTTTACTTTTTCGTTCTTTTCCTTTTTTTCCTTTCTTTTTCTTTAAGCTTTAAGTTGATACATTCTCAGATGTTTGGGGGGAAACATCCTCTTAAAATGGGTCCTCGTGCTTGCCTTCTGGGGAGGCGGTCCTGAGCAGGTGAATATACGGCACTTATGCATATGTTATATGCAGACTGCCCCTCTCCCCTCGCACCCCTGCCTCCTGGGTTGAGCTACTCTCCCCTTACTTTGCTGCATTTCTATAGTTCAGTTGGTTTTACTTGAATGATTCATGTTTAGGGGAAAAAAATGAAAAACACTCTAAAATTTGTTTCAACTCCTCCTGCAAATAAAAAAATAAATGAAGTGGCAGATGTAAACAGGCTCTGGTCATTGTCACCCTGAGAGCGAGCGTGTGCGTGTGTGAGCCGCGTGTCGGGGGTGTTAGGTGCCTCCTACAACAGTTTCAGGAAGCCTGAGAGAATCGGCTTGGGAGGGACGCCCGGACATCTCCTCAGCCCTGTCCTCACTGGCAGGGAGGAGCAGGAGCCTCTGCATTCCCGGAGCTGGCCACTCCTCATCCCACCCCAGTGGTTTTGCTTCACCCTGCACTTTGGACACCTCAGGAGAACCAGGGCCTTTTAACCTGCTGCACATGGGCAAGGACTTTGGTCCCCTTGGTGGGAAGTCAGGGGTCAAAAGCTATGTTTGAAAGGCTCAGCCTTCTGTGTTCCCAGGAGGGAGAATCTCCGGGTTAGCCCAGCCCACAGGGGCTGGCCTTAGGGTCCTAACCTTCAGGCTCTTGCGGGCTTCGACTCTGGGATTCACCAACTCTGGGCTTGACCAAGCGGCTACCTTATGAGCTCACGAAGTACTTTCATCCCGCCTTCTGCCACGGGAAATCTGGCCGCTCCATAGCAGGGTCTTTGTCCCTCTTACCTCGGGGTGGGGTGCAGGGGTGAGTTCGGCGGAGTAGGGAATACGCCTTGGCCGAAAGAGATCTGAAGCGTTCCAGCAAGAGCTGCGCGGCCAAAAGCAGCCACCTCCACCCAGGGCCCTGTTTGGAGCGGTTGCTACCTGCTGGGGGGGCCCCGCCCTGGTATGCGCCCATCCCCACCTCTTGCCCTGCAGCTAAAAGCTGGCAAACTGGGAGGGGATGGGCCGGGAGGGCTCAGTGCTGGTGGTGGTGGGTGGTAGCCTCCGGGCTTAGGCTCAGGAAGGGAGGTAACTGGGAATTCGGAATTTGAGTGGGCGGGAAAGGGAGCTCTGACCCCTGCGCAGGCCAGAGAGACGCGGGAGTCCTCGCCTCTGGGTTAGGGGCCAAACCCGCTGAGCCGGGCCGCCCCCTCACCTACTCCCAGCACCTGGAGCCCGACCTATCCGCTCGTGTCTCCGCCTCCTTCGCTGCACGATCCCGCAGCTGGTCCCAGCCCAACCCGACCCAGTACTCTGCCGCCAGCGGGACCTGCCGGGCTCAGGCGCGGCGGAAGCCATGGGTATGTGCCGTGGGTTTGGGGTGGACTCCACTTGGGACCGTGTGGGGATGCAGAGAGCCTACACCACCTGACCCCACACTCTCCCGGAGTCTGCCTACACGGTGCTCGGGACTCGCTCGGGGCGCGCCCGCCATGACCAGTCGGCCCCGCCTGGGCCTTTCTGAGCCGCGCCCTGGCCGGGTCCTGTGCCCGTAGAGGTCCTGTTCCTGGCCGGATGCCGCGAGGACGACGAGCTGAAGCCGGAGCCCGGGGGTGTGGTGCGACAGGTGCGCGAGGGGCCTGCACGGGCTGCGCGGGGGACCAGTGTGGCCTCTTCCCGGCTGAGCCAAGTTCAGGGAGGCCGGCCCAGGGGAGGACTGGGGGCTCTGCGCGCACCTCCCGGGAGCTGAGCGCCTCCTCCTGGTGCCCCCATTCCAGGAGAGTCCAGACACACCGCGGGGCTCCGGGGAGGTGCGGAGACCGCGCTGCGCGCGCCGCCGAGGTAAGAACCGCAGGTGGCGAGCGGCCGGGGGCCGGAGTGACGGGAGCGACTCTGGGTGGGGCCGTGAGGCCGCTCTGCGGCCCGTGATTGGTCCTCGGGCACAATGCCCCGCCCTAGGGCGGGGCCTGGTGACAATCCTGTGCGCTCGCGGCCAGTTCCTCCTCCTGCTCAGCGGACGGGGCACCCAGCTAAGATTCCCCACTCTTGTACGACCCCAGGCCACCCCGCCAAATCTCGGGGCCCCCAAATATGGTGCAGAGTGAACTTCAACTACAGCCCGCAGCAGGCAGACGAGCTGAGGCTACAAGCTGGGGAGACTGTGGAAGTGATAAAGGAGGTGAGGGGATGAGGTGACAGGGCTAGCGGGGACTTGGTCCGGAGTGAGGGCAATGGTGCAGGGAGGCTGAGGCCGAAGGGAATGGTGAGGGCCTCAGAGACGGGAAGGGAGTAAGCGACCAAGGGGGGAAGTCGTGGGGCGGAACCGCCGGTGTAGGATTCCAGAGACCGGTGGGCAGAACCAGATGCCCCTGCGTCCTCCCCTCCCCAGATTGAGGACGGCTGGTGGCTGGGGAAGAAGAACGGGCAGCTGGGAGCCTTCCCGTCCAACTTTGTGGAGTTGCTGGACAGTGGGCCCCCAAGTGAGACCTCGACCCTGGGACCAGACTCTACGATCTCCTGTGACCCCTCCCAGTGGCCTGAGCCTGGGATCCGCACCCCCTGACCCTGCGACCCCTTGGCCCTCTCCCATGACCTACCCTGTGAATGGCGCCCTGCCTAACCTCACTGTCCCCCACTAGGCCTTGGTAACCTAGACACGCCTTCCGTCAGCCTTGACCCCCAGCGGCCTTCCAAGGTAAGTGGCATCGGAGTGGGCCGACCGGGCGTGCCTCTCCGGTGGTGGAAGGCTGATCTCGTTTCTCCCTTCCCGGCCCTCACTAGCTGAGCAGCCTGACCTATGACAGCCCTCCTGACTACCTGCAGACAGGTGAGCACCCAGCCCTCTACTCCCAGCCACTGGTGGGGGAGGGCTGGCCGCAGTGGAATGACCTCTCCTTAGTCTCCCGCCCTGAGACCTACAGGGTCCTGTTTGACTACCAGCCCGAGGCCCCAGATGAGTTGGCGCTGCGGAAGGGGGACCTGGTGAAAGTCCTGAGGAAGGTGTGAGGGAACGGAGGGAGGGCCAGCGCAGGTGATGGGAAGGGCCCGGACAGGGACAGAGGCACGAGGCACCGAGGCACCGGCTCACCTCTCCAGGCATTTCTCTGTAGACCACAGAGGACAAGGGCTGGTGGGAAGGAGAGTGTCAAGGCAGAAGAGGAGTTTTTCCAGACAACTTCGTGCTCCCGCCACCCCCAGTGAGTACACAGACACCAAAGGGCAGGGCTCCCGCTGTTTCCTACAGCAGGACACAGCTGGAGGGGCATGGCACTCCCTGTGGTGAGGGTGGACCTGGACAGGTAGGGCCCCTCTTTGGATTCTGCTGCCTTTTCTGCATAGGTCAAGAAGCTGGTCCCACGGAAAGCGGGATCTCGGGAATCAGGTGGGTGCTCAGGGAGCCTGACATGGGGGGCTCTATGCAAAACCTACCAGTCCAGTTCCCCGTGAACACCCCCAGCTCCGAAATGGCCCCATGTCCTACATAGGGACCCGGCAGGCATGTATTTGAATCAGGAGGTGGGTCGCTTTGCGTGTGTTCACGTGCTACCCCTTCTCTGTGTGCCTGAGGATGTGGTTATCAGCCTGTGTAGACCTGTTTCATTTTATGAGGACCTGTATGATCTGTGCCAGTCTATGAGACTGTGTATGTCCACATGTCTAGTAAGTGTGTCACTGAATAGCTCTGTGTCTGCGTCCATGGGGACACATCTTTATCTTTTTTTTTTTTTTGGAGAGGTTTTTGCTATAGGGCTCATGCCCTTGCCAGAAAGACAGAGAGACAGAAAGTGAGAAATCACCCCCCGGGGGGACAGTCACGCCACAATCCCTTCTCCTCCATTCTCTTCTTGGGCTCCTGGGCACGCACGCACATGTGCCCAGTGTGAATTTAAGCCACTGGATCTGGGACTCGAACTGTGATTGACTACATGGGAGTCCATCAACATAGCCATTACGCCAACTGCTGGTCCCAAATTAATTTTTAACTTTATTTATTTTAACTTGACCAGAGAGAGGGAAAGTGGGAAAGCAAGCTACCAGGTCGAGGGCTTGAACCATGGTCGGCCATGTTGGGAGTCCAACGCCCTTAACTACCATGCCACCTGCCGGCCCCTTGGATTTTATTTTATAATTTTCTCAAGTTTCTAAGTTTTCTTACACAAGTAGGTGTTAACAACGTGTCTCTGATAGTAGCAAGTGTCTGCAGTCATCCAGGACAGGGTTCTTGATCACCACTTGTTCTGAGAGTCATCCTGGGGTGCAGATGCAGTTCTTTGACTTTCCTCTGCTGTATAATCTCCCTTGGAGGGAATTTCCCAGTCTCTGATTCTGGTCTCCTGGCTTTGCTGCTGGTGGCTTCTAGTTTCCCTTTATAGCACGCGGTGCTGCCGTGAACACTTGCGAGCCCGTCTCCTGGTATACAGATACGAGAAGACGGTATAACCCTAGGAGGGGCATCGCTGACTTCCTGGTATACGAACGCTCAACTTTTATGAGATGAAGTCAAAAGGATTTTCACTTTCACACTCTACCATCAGTGTGTCTGGCGGTGACACTGGTTCTACATTCTCCTCAACATTTGGTGTTATCACACTCTATTACTTTTGTGAATCTAGCAGATATAAAGTAGTATCTCGTATGGACTTAATTTGCGTTTTCCTGACTACTAATAATTTGTAAAAGTTCTTTATATATTCTTGAGACCAGCAGTTGGCGTAATGGCTATGTCGCTGGACTCCCACATAGTCGACCATGGTTTGTGTCCTGGACCCGGTGGCTTAAACTCACGCTGGGCGTGTGTGTGTGCGTGCCCAAGATCCCGATAGGAGAATGGAGGAGAAGGGATTGCGGCATGGCCATCCCCCCTGGGGGGTGATTTCTCGCTTTCTATCTCTCTGTCTCTCTCTGTCTGTCTGGCGAGCACATGCGCCCTATAGTGAAAACCTCTCCAAAAAGAAAAAAAAAAGAAAGAAAAAAAAAGACAGTTTTAGCTTTAATAAATCCGAATTTTAAAATGTTAAGAGAACTTTGCTTAAGACTTAAAGCCAGGAAACAGGTTAGGGTTCTGTTCAAAAAGTAGGAACATGGACCTATCCACAACTCAGGAGAAGACAAGATTTCTTAAGTCTGGAAAATAAAGCACAGAAGATCAGTAATGTTTTAGACAAAAGTCATAAAATTCTATTTCACCAGTTCAGACTCATGCACTCAATCTATCTTCTGTTGTGGTCTGCTCTTTCCGTTTAAATTCTGGAAGATAACGTTCAACTCTGTACTTATCTCTACCATTAAGCTGGCTGGCTATTTTCTTAGTTGTTTTGAACTCTTATTTCTGTGTGTCTGACTTTAGTTTTCCTCATATAGCACTCCCTTCAGAACTTCTTGGAGAACTGGTCTGGTGTCAGTGAACTCTTTCAGGTTTTGTTTATCTGAAGATGTTCTGGTCAGCTCTTCCCACATGAAGGATAATCTTGATGTATATAGTGTTCTTGGTCGAAACTGTTTTTCCCTCAACACTTTGAATATATTTTCCCATTCTTTCCTCACTCGCATTGTTTCCGATGAGAGATCTGCTGTTAGTCTGATGGGATGTCCTTCGTAGGTAACTTGACGTTTCGCTCTTGCCAATCTTAGTATCTTGTCTTTGTCTGCGGCTTTGGTCATTCTGGCTATAATGTATCTTGGAGAAGATGATCTTGGGTTGATCCTATTTGGGGTCCTTTGTATTTCTTGGGTCTGGATCTTTGAGTGCCTCTCTAGGTTTGGAAAGTTTAATTGCAGGATTTCATGGAACAGATTATTAGTGCCCTTATTAGTCTCTTCACTTTCTGGGATACCAATTATCCGGATGTTTGGATGTTTAATGGTATCTAGTATTTCTCTTATATTATTCTCATTTGGGGGGGGCTATTTTCTCAGTCTTCATGGTGGATTTTACTAGTCTGGCGATTTTGTCTTGTACATCTGAGATTCAGTTTCCTGTCTGCTTTTAATACTTTCAGAGGAGGTTTTGACTTCCTGCATTATAGCCTTCATCTCCAACAGTTTCATTTGATTCTTTTTTATGGTGTCTATTTCCCTTTTTTTTGGAGAGGTTTTAGCCCTAGGGCACATGCGCTTGCCAGAAAGAGAGAGAGTAAGTGAGAAATCACCCCCTAGGGAGGATGGCCATGCCGCAATCCCTTCTCTTCCATTCTCCTCTTAGGATCTTGGGCACACATGCACACGTACCCAGCATACGTTTAAGCCACCGGATCTGGGACTCGAACCACAGTCAACTACATGGAAGTCCAACAACATAGCCATTACACCAACTGCTGGTCCCATATGGTGTCTATTTCTTCTTTCAGCTCTCACAAGAACTTCCTCACCTTCTGGAAATCATCAGCTCTTTTCTTCTGGTGTTCATTGTCTCTTTTCTCTTCCATCTCTGTTAGCTTTGTCACTATGAATATTCTAAACTAATTTCTGTGAGTTCCATTGTACTGTCTGTGGATGAAGAGGAGTTATTCTTTTCCCTTGGGGGAGAGGTACTTCCTTGGTTTTTCGTATTTCTTGTGCCTCTGCGGTGATTTCTAGTCATCTGATTGGTTATTCATTTCTTCCTAATTTCTAGCAGCTCAGTCTGAGCATTCTGAGGTGTGCTGGAGGAGGTGATCTGCAAACCCTTTGCCATTCCGTTTTTCTCCCTTCGTGTGGCAGGTTCAGTGGGAATTGAGGAATATGGTGACCCTAGTAGTATTGGGGTGTTTGGCTATGGTTCACTTAGGCTTGTCTTGATGGTACTCAGGGCGTGGAGGCAGGGTCAATTCTCAGCAGAAAATCTTCATTTCTCTTATTCCTCAAAGTATTACTTCCCAGCTCTCATGGCAGACTCCTTATTTAATAATTTAAATTTGACTAGAGGAACAGAGTGAGAGAAAGAGTGAGAGTGAGAGAAGAGAGAGAGAGAGTGAGAAAGCAAGCTTCCAGGTCTAGGACTTGAGCCACAGTCGGCCATGTGAGCGTCCAGTGCCCTTAATCACCATGCCACCTGCTGCTACCCTCCCCCCAGTGTTTTTTTTAAGCCCCTGGGGTCTAGGACTTGAACCACATAGCTGGCCATGTGGGATCTAGCATCTTAACCTCCAAGCCACCTGCTGGCCCTAGTCTCTGCCTTTTAATTGGGGCATTTAGACTAGAGGTCAGTAAATTGTGGTACAGGGGCCAAAGCTGGCCTGCCCCCATTTTCTTGGCAATAGCTTTATTCAGATATCATTCACACACTGAACAGGTCACTCACTGAAAGCCCAACTCAGAGGTGTGGGAACCACTCCTGGCTGCATGACCCCGCAGCCCTGCCCCACCCTGCAGAACAGCCAGGGGACCGAGCTGGCCGCTGTGGGAGCAGCCCTGGGCAGCAACACCACTGAGCACGCTTCTCCAGCTACTGCGTGCCTCTCCCAGAGCACGGAAATGGTTCAGCGTGATGGGGACAGGATTTGTCCCACCTCACTTGGCCAGAGCCAAGCCTGCTTTCCTTACCCATGCTGCTGGGGGTTTCTTTGAATTTGCTATAGGGTGCATAGTCTCTCTGGAGAGAGAGAGGGAGAGATGGGGAAGGAAAGAGAAATTGCTCCTGTGGCGCATGACCATGCCGCAATCCTTTCTCCTCCATTCTCTGGGGACTCTGGGTGTGTGCATGTGCACACACGCACACACGCACACACACACCTGGAGTGTTTTTCAAGCCACCAGTTCCAAGATTTGAACCACATAGTCAACCATGTGGGACCCAGCTGCCTTAACCACCACACCACCTGCTGGCTCCTTACCCATGCCTCTTATATCCACATCTAACATCACTGCATGCTCCTGCATCTTCCTTTCCTTGGGGCTGGAAGGTGGTGCAGCAGTAAGATCCGATGCTCTGTGAGGCCGACCCCCTGGAGAGTTCCAGGTTCATGTCTGTAGACCTCCCTGAGTACACCAGACACATGTGTGTCCATGGGCCAGGGCTGGCTGAAGCTTTAAGACCCTGTTGAGGATACTATCTCTTGCTCTTGGAAGAAATATATATA